TAGATCCAACTCATTTGGCTAAGATATTTCTTTTTTTTTTTTAAGATTTATTTATTTATTTGAAAGTCAGAGTTACACAGAGAGAAGAGAGGCAGAGAGAGAGAGAGAGAGAGGTCTTCCATCCGATGGTTCACTCCCCAGATGGCTGCAACGGCCAGAGCTGCGCCGATCCAAAGCCAGGAGCCAGGAGCTTCTTCCGGGTCTCCCACGTGGGTGCAGGGGCCCAAGGACTTGGGCCATCCTCCACTGCCATCCTGGGCCACATCAGAGAGCTGGACAGGAAGTGGAGCAGCCAGGTCTCGAACCGGTGCCCATATGAGATGCCGGCACTTCAGGCCAGAGCACCAACCCACTGCGCCACAGCGCCGGCCCCGGCTAAGATATTTCTTAGGTGGTGTTTTGTACCTCATAATTCACCACATCAGGAAGCATCAGGAAGTGTGTGGATGCCCAGTCTCAGGATGCTGAGATTGACTGGAAATTGTAGGTCCAGTCAGCTCAAAGCCTCCTGGTAAAGTCCCCATCAGCCTCTCCTCTCCTCTGTTGATGCACGTTGCCTGAATCCACTAATTTTAAGGAATATAAAATGGCAATTTCCTAATTATGTCCTTTCTCTTTTATTTTGTGGAATTACTTCTATAAAAAGAGCTTTCTTGGAGCCTGCTTCGTGGTATAGTGGGTTAGGCCACTGCTTGTGATGCTGGCATTCCACATTGACTATTGTGTGAGTCCCAGCTGCTCCACTTCCTATGCAGCTCTCTGCTAATGTGCATGGGAGGTAGTAGACAATGGCCCGAGTATGTGGGCCCCTGCCACCCATGTGAGAGACCAAGAAGGAGTTTTGAGCTCTGGCTTCAGCCTGGGCAAGCCCCAGCTGTTTCAGGCATTTGGGTGGTGTACCAGCAGATGGAAGCATCTCTCTTTGTCACTCTGCCTTACATGAAATAAACAAATCTTTTTTAAACACTAAAAAGAACTTTCTCTCATGGAACTGGGCAATGTGGTCACACCATCAGAAGCAGCTAGTTGCCTGTCTCACATTCTCTCAGCCTGCCTTTCACTGCAGCCATTGCTGTTGCAGGTGTAACCCCACGGCATCTCTCCTCATATGCATGGCATGCATCTCACTTTCTGTCCTTCCTTCCTCCCCAGATTCCTGACTCTAGGTAGGTGGGACACATGCTTAGCACTCACACATGACGGTTCCGAAGTGTAAGGGAGCTAAGGCCCCAGGGGGAAACTTGGACCAGCAGGAGCCGGGAGTTGGTGAATAACTGCTTTCCTCTTGTGTCAGGTTAACAATTCTGAATGTATCTGACACGGCTCAAGGCCTCATGGCCCAGAGTGACAAATAACTCGAGAACACCACTGTATTGATTTTCCCAAGTCATCCACTGCTGGTTCCCAAGATCACTGTCCAAAATGAATGACTTAAAAAGTAAACCCTTGTTTCAGGTTCAGCTTTCAAAGGAGTAAGGCAGGCTAAGACACCACTGAATGTAATTCATACAGGAGAGGCAAGATAAATGCTCAATTCTTCCATTACAATGAAAATATTCAGAGTATTATTCTAGCACATCTGATAATGAATGAATGGATCTATATGTAATCAATGAATTCCGATCAGCTGCAGTCTGACCTGTTTCAGACAGTGGGAGTTCTTTAAAGCTCATCCCTTTGTGCTTCTGACCTGTGCCACTAGACTTTGGAGTTTAACAGTTTCCTCGATTTCTGACGTTCCAAAGTGTTCTAGGTTCATAAGACACATTCCTTTCCTCAGATTGAAACCAGCCATTCCTCCAAAGAACCTCACTGTTTTTCATAGCAAATGGATGTAGTATGGGGCTAGCACCGTAGCACAGTAGGTTAATCCTCTGCCTGCGGAGCCGGCATCCCATATGGGCGCTGGTTTGAGTCCTGGTTGCTCCTCTTCTGATCCAGCTCTCTGCTGTGGCCTGGGAGAGCAGTGGGGGATGGCCCAAGTGCTTGTGCCCTGCACCCGCATGGAAGACTGGGAAGAGGCACCTGGCTCCTGTCTTCATATTGGCGCAGCTCTGGCCATTGTGGCCATTTGGGGAGTGAACCAGTGGTTGGAGACCTCTCTCTCTCTCTCTCTCTCTGCCTCTCCTTCTCTGTGTAACTCTGACTTTAAAATAAATAAATAAATAAATAAATCTTTAAAAAAAAAAAAGGAAATGGATGTAGTAAAAGTACAAAATAAATGCCCAAGGTGCTTATTTCCTACGAGACTGATTACTGCTGGTTTTTTTTCAAGGAAGTAGGCAACCAAATGCTTCCCCTTTCTCCCAATAAACATAAAACGTTTCCTATTGGAATATAAGAAACATTTTCTTGAAAAGAAAAACTAGGGCGGAGGAGCGTCAGCGGCCAGGCAGCCCAGCTTCAGGAAGACTCCCGGCATGCACCCGCCCCGCCGCCAAGATGCCCAAGCCGCAGTGAAGGAGGAGCCCAAGAGGAGGTCTGCACGGTTGTCGGTTGTCGGCAAAGCCCAAGAAGGCCGCCGAGAAAGGTAAGACACCAGACCAGCAAGTGCAAGCAAAGGGCAAGAGAGGAGCAAGGGGAAAACAGGCCGAGGTGGCTAACCAAGAAACTAAAGAAGACTAGCCTGCAGAAAACCGGAGAGACTAAAAATGAGGAGAGTCCAGCCTCTGATAAAGCAGAAGAGAAAGAAGCTACATGCTCTATCCCTCTTCCCCACAGCTGCCAACCAAGTAGGTGGTCCAACTCCTGGGTTTTCGCTAGTGTCATTACATTTCCTCTTTTACCATTCTGCCACAAGATAGCCTACGGTACTTTCATCTGCTTTTGGAAGAACTCTCAGGATAAATAATAGGTGACTGTGTAGAGAGTGATAGGAGGGTGGCTGCAGTGTTGCCATTTCCATTCACCTAATCATGGAAATGCTAAGGCTCACAGCTATCACCATTCTTGTTAAGACCTGGTATTTCCAAAGATTGGCTCTGGTTTCCAGCCAAAGAAGAGAACATCAAATACGACCCCACTTCTTTCTAGGGCCAGTAGAATGCATGGCTAGTAAGGGAAGTCCACTGTATTTTATCAGTCTCACAATCCTGAGAAAGGAAGAGGAGGAGCTGTGGTCATTTTTTTTTTTTTTTTTTTTTTTTTTTTGTCTGCTTGCTGCCTCCAGAACAATCCAAGTCCTTGCGTATGGCTGGAGGTTTCTACAGATTGTGGAGTGACCGCTCTCTAATCTGCAGGACTGGTCACCCCCAGGACTTCTTTTACTGCTTTGTAGAAGGTAGCATCAAGGTAGGCATTATTTTTCTCTTAGTATCTCCACTTCCCGTTTTCCAGTGGGTGACTTTGCCCTTCAGAGGACCTGTATTTGGCAATGGCTGAAGACAACCGGTTGTCACAACATGGAGAGGGATACTGTGGCATCTAGTGGGTAGAGGTCACGTATGCTACTTAACATCTTACAGCACAAGGACAGCCTCCCCTGCAACAAAGACTTACCTGGTCCAAAGTGTCAACAAGGCCAAGGTTGAGAAACCCTGCTGTAATTCTTTCTTCATGCACACATTCCCAGACCTCCTCAAAATGACTATTATCAGTGTCAGAGGAAGGGTAGAATTATACACACTCCCTCTTCCTTCTCCTCACTAGCAATTCAGAAATCCCCTTAATCATAAAGATTCTAAAGAATTATATATTTATCTGTAAGATTAAATAACAAATACTATCTTAACCTTCTAAAAATGATTATCATTAGAAACAATGCAGCTTTCTTACTGTAAGTATAAATGGAAAGGGCTGATTATTTAAAGTAAATGGGACCAAAAGTCCCATGAATAATCAAAAACTTGGTTAATAGAGTATGACCAGAGAATAATGCACTTGGCTTCTGTGGAGAAATTACAGTACATGATGTGAATTAGTATTAAGGAAATTGCATAAAAAGTTACTCTTAAAGTACCGTGACGCTGAAGAAACAGCCTCAGGTGCACAATATATCACATTCAGTCTTTATCTTTCTTAGTATTTTCATGGCTTCTTTCACCTTGGATAACCCAGAAGCTCAGCCCTTGGAACTTTCTGGAACAATAACATGCCTTACTCTCCACATTTATTTTAATCTAGTGATAGACCTTAATTTTATTGCCAGTAGTTTCTTGGTTTCGCAGGAATTGTTTTCAAACTTCAACTTACCTCACTTATTTTGAGGGCATAGACTGTCCTTAATAGTTAAAAGCATAATTCACTTTAAATGAAATGTGTGCCTGAAAAGTTATACCTGAACTGAATTTTTGTAAATAAAATTGAATTTTTAAACCACAAGGGAAATTTGCCATTCCAAGGGAGTTTGAAGCTAAACCTTTTGTAAAGCATCTTGCTTTGCACAATTATTATGCAAACAATTATTCTTTACTTTGCCTTTTTTGTACTAATTTTGGTATTTGCTCAAGTCTAGTCCAATATTATGCATGATGCTTTTTTTTTTAAATGAACATTTAATTTGAAGTGGTTTTAATAGCTGAAGAGAGTTTTGCAAGCTATTTCCAAGGGAGTACAAACTGGGCAATACATATATCCTTTAGTTACAAGGATTTGTTAACATTTGTTCTGGATGATGAGAAAGGGGACAAAAGGAAATAGGTAGCAGTAGTGAATCAATCATTACTTCCCCTCTGCAACGAGCAGAAAACAGCGGCTGGTGGCCTATTACTTGGTGAAGAGTCTGCCTTCAGAAACTAGATTGCCTGGGTTCACATCCCTGCCTAGTGTGGTCTTGGGCTATTTACACGGCTCAGCTGTGCCTTGGTTACCGCCCAGGAAACATGGGGAAAACCACTGTTATCTAGTGTGGCTGCTTTAAGGATCAAGTAAGTTAATTTGTGAATCCTAACGGAATCCCGGCGGGAAAGGGGAGCTCCAGGGCCAGGGGTGAGGAGGAAAACGAGAGGCGGGGAGCAGGCAGGACGTCATTCTTGCGGAGGAGGCACGGCCGGTTCCGTCTGGGCTGGACCCCCGAGGGTCCGAGGCTGCTAATCTGAAGACACTCCTTAGTGTCTTCCCACGGCACCCTGCCACCTTCCGCCGAGGGCTCAGCCAGCTAAGCAGCCCGCCACGAGTCATTATTCTTCTGGGATTTTACCACTTCGCGTTCCACCGCTGAGCCCTGGCCCACGGCCGTAGCCGCCACGCAGCCCGCGAGACGGCCTCCACGGTGGTCCAGGGTTACTACCGGGGGCCGGAGGTGAGCGGCGACAAAAGGCTTCCAGAAGCGAGCGCCTCTGACTGTCCCCGGGGACTCGTCACACAGATGTCTCTGCAAGCCCGTGTCTTCCTCCAGTCACCACCGGAGAAAGGGTCGGGAGAAGCCTTCAGGCGGTCCAGCTCCAAAGCTCCGCCCCACGGGGGTGGGGGAGGAGCGTCCCGGCTGCGCCGTAAAGTAGGGAGCGCGCTTTGCCGCTCCTTTATCTTTACGGCAGGCCGTAATCCACGCCGCCAATATGGCGTCCCCCACATAGGCAGGGACCGTGGTTTCTATCCTAGGTGGCCCAGGTCAGTGCTGAGCTGGTGCTCCCCGTTTATCCAGCCCCGGCCACAGAAGGTATCAGTCAAAGTTCATTTCGGCCTCTGGAAGCCACACCCTGACGAGGGTCAGGAGTCGCCGCTTCTTTATAGTTCCTGCAGATTCCTCCTCTGCCCCGGTTGGTTTCCCGCGCCACCTCTGCGGACACCTGAAGTCTCTGACTTGCATAGTCAAACCATGAGTCTTCGGCAGTTGCAGTTACGCTTGCCCCGTTGTCTCGGAGCCTCGGGTCCCCCGCGGCGCTTGTGGTCCCGGCCCCTCGACACCGTCTTAGGGTGTAGACACCATCTCCTCCTGGGCTCCTGCCGAGCGCAGTCCTCCAGGTCCCCGGCCCACTGGAACCAGGTGGTGTCAGAGGCGGAGAAGATAGTGGGCTACCCCACGTCCTTCATGAGCCTCCGCTGCCTGCTGAGTGACGAGCTCAGCAACATCGCCATGCAGGTGCGGAAGCTGGTGGGCACTCAGCACCCGCTGCTGACCACGGCCAGGTGAGCCACCCCTACTCTGCCGCTGGCGCACCCGCGCCCACTCCTGTCCTTGACCCTGGACGGCGCACACTGACCCCCGGCCACTTTTTACTTCGTCCTTCCTTCAGCTCTCCGAGACGTTCTATATGGTGCGTCTTCTGTAGTTCGCTTAACATTCTTACTCCACGTGCTCAGCTGAAGGGAAAAATGGTTTCCTTTTCTAAAGCAGTTGTAGGCTTTTCGTGATTTTGCTTCTTAACTGATAAAGATTAAGATGCCTGGATTCGTGGAGAAATCGAGCAGGGCTGTTAAGTTTATCGGCTCACCTTCTGGAAATGGCCCTCTAAAATTGGGACAGATTGGATTTTCAGTTCTTAGAAAGAGTGGATAGTTCTTTCTAATGATTGTCCAGACTTGAACTAGGAATCTATCCGGCCAGTAGTCATGATCCTCTTGGGATATTTGTTGCCTATGCTGGCTTACTGCTGTAAAACTTGCTGTAGAGTTTTTAAGGGCTTTTTTTTTCCTCCCTCTTAAATCACATCTTCTGATTTGTAATTAATTTCAAACATACAGAACGGTTGCCAAAGTGAAAATAGTATTAAGAACACATTTTTATGCCCTTTGATCAGATTTACCTACTACAAACACACACTTTTTTTTTTTTTTTTTTTTTTAAGATTTATTTGTTTGAAAGGCAGTTACAGAGAGTCAGAGGCAGAGAGAGAGAGAGGTCTTCCATCTGCTGGTTCAGTCCCCAGATGGCCACAACGGCGGAACCTGCGCCTTATCTGAAGCCAGGAGCTTCTGAGTCTCACATGCGGGTGCAGGGGCCCAAGGACTTGGAGGTGGTCCTGGTATCCTCTCTGCTTTCCCAAGCCATAGCAGAGAGCTGGATCGGAAGTGAAGGAGCTGGGACTTGAACCGGTGTCCATATGAGATGCAGGCACTGAAGGCAGAGGCTTGACCCTACTACACCACAGCACTGGCCCCGAACACACATTTTTTATTTCCTGAATTCTTTGAGGATAAAATGCTTGCATTATGGACCTTTATCCCTGAATACTTCAGTATGTATTTCCTAAGAATAGGGATACTCTCAAAGAACTACAGTTCAGTAGCCAGCATTTAGCCTAGCAATTAAGAGCCCACATTCCTCATGAGAGTGACTGGATTTGATTTGTGGCTCTGGCTTCTGGCTCTAGCTCCCTGCTAATGCAGACCCTGGCAGGCAGAGATGATGGCTCAAGTAATTAGGTTCCTTCCACTCATGTCAGAGCCATGAATTGAATTTGCTTGCAGTCATCTGGGGAGTGAAGCAGCATATAGGAGCTCTTTCTCTGTGTCTCTGCCTCTCAATTAAATAAAAAAATTAAAAGTAAAACTACAGTACAGTTATCAACTTGGGTATATTATTTATCTCCTTGAAAGGCAGAGTTACAGACAGGCAGAGGCAGAGAGAGAGAAGTCTTCAATCCACTGGTTCACTTCCCAAATGGCTGCAATGGCTGATCTGAAGCTAGGAGTCAGGAGCTTCTTCCGGGTCTCCCACGTGGGTGCAGGGGCCCAAGGACCTAGGCCATCTTCTACTGCTTTCCCAGGCCATAGCTGGGAGCTGTATCATAAGTGGAGCAGCCGGGACTCGAACTGGTGCCTATATGGGATGCCAGCACTATAGGCGGCAGCTTTATCCACTACACCACAGTGCCAGTCCCAACTTAGGTATGTTTTAATATTGATGTAATACTTTAATGTATCATTCATATTCCAGTTTTGTTAATTTACCCAGTACTGTCCTTTATATTATTTAGCATCTGGTTCAGGATCCCACTTTTGATCAGGTATTGCATTTAGTTGTTATATCCCTTTAGTCTTCTTCAGTCAGCGACATTTCCAAAGTTCTTCTTGGCTTTATGACTAGAGCAGTGGTTCTCAACTGTGACAGTTTTGTCCCTCTCCCCCACCCCCAGGGACATTTGGCAATGTATGGAGATGTTTTTTTTGCTGAAATAAAAGGAGTTGGGTATTCTAAGATGCTTAAGACAGCCCCACAAGAAAGAATTATGTGCCCCAAAATGTCACCATGTGCCAAAGTAGAGAAATCCAGGATAAAACTGATGTTCTTTTCCTATTTTACTTTTTTTTTTTTTTTGACAGGCAAAGTGGACAGTGAGAGAGAGAGACAGAGAGGAAGGTCTTCCTTTTGCCGTTGGTTCACCCTCCAATGGCCACCGCGGCCGGCGCGCTGCGGCCAGCGCACCATGCTCATCCAAAGGCAGGAGCCAGGTGCTTCTCCTGGTCTCCCATGGGGTTCAGGGCCCAAGCACTTGGGCCATCCTCCACTGCACTCCCGGGCCATAGCAGAGAGCTGGCCTGGAAGAGGGGCAACCGGGACGGAATCCGTCGTCCCGACCAGGACTAGAACCCGGTGTGCCAGTGCCACAAGCCAGAGGATTAGCCTATTGAGCCATGGCGCCGGCCAATTTTCTTTTTTTTTTTTTTTTTTTAAGATTTATTTATGTATTTGAAAGTTGAGTTACAGAGAGAGGTAGAGACAGAGATCTTCCATCCACTAGTTCATTTCCCTGGTGGCTAAGTATGTGCTGCAGATCAAGGCTGAAGCCAGGAGCCAGGAGCTTCATCTGGGACTTCCACATGGGTGGCAGAGGCCCAAGGACTTGGGCCATCTTCCACTGCTTTTCCCAGTCCATGAGCAGAGAACTGGATTGGAAGTGGAGCAGCCAAAACTCAAACTGGCACCCATATGGGATGCCGGCATTGCAGGCAGCAGCTTTACCTGCTACACCACAATGCCAGCCACATTTTCATTTTTAAAATTAAACTTTTATTTTGAGTTAATTGTAGATTCACAAGCGGTTGGAAGAAAGAATATGGAGAGATCCAGAATACTTAGTGAAACTAGTACAATGTAATAAGCAAGATATTAACATGGATACATTCAAGATACAGAACATTTCCATTCCCACAGGGATCCCTCATGTTACTCTTTCACAGCCATACCCACTTTCCTTGCTCATACAACACCCCTTCCTGTAGTTTTTTTTTTTTGAGACACCTGTCATTTTTCTTTTTACACCTGTCATTTTTCTTTTTACCAAAGTGGCAGTACTAATTTTATTTTTTTCATTGTTGCCAGTTATCAGGAATGTTACTTTTCTTTTTTTTTCTTCTTTTTATTTTTTGACAGGCAGAGTGGACAGTGAGAGAGACAGAGAGAAAGGTCTTCCTTTGCCGTTGGTTCACCCTCCAATGGCCGCCACGGCCGGCACACCAGGCTGATCCGATGGCAGGAGCCAGGTGCTTCTCCTGGTCTCCCATGGGGTGCAGGGCCCAAGCACTTGTGCCATCCTCCACTGCACTCCCTGGCCACAGCAGAGAGCTGGCCTGGAAGAGGAGCAACCGGGACAGAATCCGGCGCCCCAACCGGGACTAGAACCCGATGTGCCGGCGCCGCAAGGTGGAGGATTAGCCTAGTGAGCCGCGGCGCCGGCCAGGAATGTTACTTTTCCATCAGGCAATCAGACTAAACCTGTTCTGTAGCTCGAATGTTAGTTCTGGTGAGATTGTGGCTGATACATATTCAGAACACACACACAGACAGATATGTGTGTGTGTGTGTTTAAGATTTTTAAAGATTTATCTATTTATATGAAAGGCAGAGCTACAGAGAGGCTGAGACAGAGGGGGAGAGAGAGAGGTCTTCCATCTGCTGGTTCATGCCCTAGATGACTGTAGTGGCCAGAGCTGTGCCAATCTGAAGCCAGGAGTCAGGAGCTTCTTCTGGGTCTCTCATGTGGGTGCAGGGGCCCAAGGACTTGGACCATCTTCTGCTACTTTCCCAGGCCTTAACAGAGGGCTGGATTGGAAGTGAAGCAACTGGGTCTTGAACCAGCACTCAGATGGGATGCCGGCACTGCAATTGGTGGCTTTACCCACTATGCCACAGTGCCAGCCCTGTGTGTATGTTTTAAAGCTTAATAATGCAACAAGTGAGTCTCTTACCCAATTTAAGAATTCTAGGGTGCTGGTACTGTGGCATAGCAGGTAAAGCAGAGCCAGCATCCCATATGGGTGTGGGTTTGAGTCCTGGCTGCTCCACTTCTGATTCAGCTCTCTGCTATGGCCTGGGAAAGCAGTGGAAGATGGCTCAAGTCCTTGGGCCACTGCACCTGCATGGGAGACCCAGAGGACACTCCTGGCTCCTGGCTTCAGATCAGCCTAGCTCTGGCTATTGCAGCCATCTGGTGAGTGAACCAGTGGATGGAAGACTTCTCTCTGTCTCTTTCTCTCTCTCTCTGCCTCTGCCTCTCAATTAAAATAAATAAATCTTTAGGAAAAAATTTAATAAAATCATGACAATTAATTGAAAAGAAAAGAATTCTAACTTAACCAATCCTGTCGAAACTACCTATGTATTCTCCAGTCAGTTTCTCTGACCTCCATTATACTGACTTTTTGGGGTTATACTTTTAAAAAAATAAGTGTGGGCATTTGGCCTAATTGGTAAGCTTCCAGTAAAGATGTCCATATCGCAGTTTGGAGTGCCTAGGTTCAATCTCCAGGTCCAGTTCCTGACTCCACTTTCCTGTTGATGTGGGCCCTGGGAGACAGTGGTGATGGCTCAGATAGCGGTGTTCCTGCCACTGATGTGGGTGATCTGGATTGTGTTCCTAGTTCTTGGCTTCAAGCCTGATTCAGCTCCAGCTGTTGTGGGTATTTGTGAATGAACCAGCAAATGGGCGATCTCTCTGTCTTTGTTCCTGTCTCTTTCTAATACATAAAAATAAATACATAGGTATTTCCCTGAACAAAAATAGCACAATGAATTTTTCTCATTTTGAAGGAAATTTAGTAATATGACAGTAAATTACATATGGCTTTCTTGAATTAATTTCTTTTTAAAGACTTCATTTATTTTTTAAAGATTTATTTATTTATTTATCTGAAAGATCAAGTTACAGACAGAGGAAGAGACAAAGAAAATGGTCTTCCATCCACTG